GACAGGAGGCGGACTTTCGTACGCCCCTTCGTTCACAATGTCACTTTAAAACTCCGCGTCGAAATGATTTGAGTGTTAGGTAAGCAATAAAGTTTCAGGTTTAAATTTACTGAATAAGTACGATTCAGTCTTTAGCAGCCTTAAACGCTGATGAATGTCACTCTCCTAGTGTGAAAGAATGTAGAGGCATTCTCTTGCAATTTCCACCGGTAGTATCCCCATTCAGAACAATCTGAGCCATGCAGTTACGATTTTAGATGACTGCTTTGAATGTGGTTGGAAATTTGCGAGCTGCATCATAATCACCCCTAGTCTGTCTTGGCGTGCTTCAATCCGCGGTATAGCCAGAGTGAAATGGGCTTCCTGAGACGAACCGCTGGACTCATGCGTCTCAACATGGTCCGCAGTACGGATATACGGAAAGCTCTGGTCCACAGCCCCTGCGTTCCAAGTTGAGAAGTCACAACTGCTATGGTTTAGACAGGTCTTTCCGATTCTTCTAGAGAGCAAGGCGAGACGTGCTATGCTTGTCCAACCAACCAGCCAAAATCTCCGGAAACTGAAAGGATAAGCGGTCACGGAAACTGCCTGACTGACCGACCGATTGACTGACCGACTATTCGCCATAGAGCAATCGCTTTCTTGCTCCTTTGTTGAATCTCGCCGCAGGTGTTCCCAAATGTTGCATTCAAATTCATTTCGACACAGGATAACTGACTAGTTCAAAAATTGCACTAAGTTCGGTGTTGCCCTCGCGATTTGCAGTTTGTTTTAATTTCTTCTTTTCTCTCTCCATTAAGTACAGTTCCTTAAAGTTGACTGAATAATGTTGTCATTCTAGACAATGTCTAGATGACCCTGTTAACCAAGTTAAAACGGGTAGCGTGAATGCCGGATGCATGGAGCAGAGGAATATTCATATATGTATTTGTTTGTGTTTGAATGCAAAAATCAGGTCTTCAGGCCTCTTAATCCAATCGGGTCTCGAACTTGTGCGCTTCTACAGTGATGCCGGAAGGACACCTCATACACTATCTCCATCGCATTCTGCCTGACCATTGATATGTTTTCCTGAGCTTCAGGAGCAGATCAATATTCAGCATCGTAGATATTCAGCACGGTTTAACGAAACAGTTCTTTCTTCGCCCCCATCGGCAGCTCACTGTTGAGTAATGATGTTTAAATACGACTAAGGCTAGCACGCGCTGCCTTCCTTCTTCGGCTGATTTTTCCCGTCTCGCCAATTAATGCGATCCATCTGACCGTCAAGGCATACGTAGCTGGTCATCTCTTCTTCGTTTCTGTAGATAGAACCCTTCGGCAGTGTTCGTCTCACTTGTACTTCTTTGTTCAGAGGTTACTTCGAAACTGATGGTGAGTGATTCTCCTTGCAACAGTTGGATCTTATCAGTGACCTGTCTAAGTGGAGTCCGCAAATAACAGGTGCATTAGCTGCTCTCCATCAACAGTGCCTTAGACGAATATTTCGTTCCACCGCTTGCGGGCTTTCTTCTCACTCCTTTGCCTCTCTTAATCGAATTTTACCGTAATTTTCGCAATCTTTTCTCAATTCCTTTCATATATCTTTGCACAATGCAGTGTACCAGTTGTCCATTTTCCCTTCGGCCTTCAGCTGGATTCTTATAGATATTATCAGCCTAGTTGAAAGGCTGATGTGCTGGTTTCTCATGAACTTTGCTGTAGGGCTTGAAGTTCTAACCAATGTCTTGACAGCAATGACAAATGGTCATTGCCAACGCTGATGTTCCGACATACGCTACTTATTTGGCTCTAATTTAAACGCATAATCTTTATGATACTTAAATATCTTTTATCCTGACTACGTACCAAAGTAAGAAACGTTTTCCTGCTAAAATCGAAAATAATTTCTTCCTAGGAGCTGAAGCTTCTTCCACTTCTGTGGTTAGCAGCATGAACAGTTTCGACCAAACTTAGCATCGGTCGTCATCAGCAAATAGGTACTTAGCGAAGCCCGCTTGGTCCAAACTTTAAGCCTGCTTTAATAAATATATAATTTCTCGTCTTTTGTGCTGCTAACCTAAAAATTAGAAGAGCATTCGCCCCCAGGCATCCACGGCATGAAATTCATCACATGTTTGTCGTTGAAAAGTGGATAATTTTGTTTCTTGCAGTTATAGACATTACAATTCTATAAGGGTGTGGTATGTTCTTGGCAGAAACGTACATATCTATTCATCTGTTGTATTACCAACTGTGCAGAATTTCAAATAAGCACTCCTCCGTCGACCACATGAATGTGACTGAAAACACAAATCCCTGAAATCGAGCTACGAACAGTTCAGACACTGATGACGAAAGAGAAGAATCGAGACATGCGTCTGAAAGTTTGCTGAAATGAAACTCGAGCGGTTCGTTTACATTGCTGACGGATGGCGCCATTGCCACGTCATCGGTCACCAATTTTGCAATGAATAACGATACAACGAATGACAGCATTTCTAAACGTCTTACTTTCCAAAAATGCGGTAGCTGGGGGGGACAAGGTGCGACGAGTCGGATGGCAACGGCGACAGCGGCTGTCGTCGTGGCACGTCGTGGTGTTGGCCGACGGCGGAGGGGGGCGAGCAGCAGTCGGTCGTCGTCGTCCTGGTCGTCGCCGTCACAGTTGTCGTCGGTGTCCTGGTCGAGGTTGAACTGGTGCTTCCGACGACGACGACGACCTAAAAAATACAAACACTAAAAACCGGCCAAAGTGCGTGACAAGTGAGCAAACATCGTGTAACACTTAACGACGACCGCGAACTCCTCTTGACTCAGGCGACAATGCGCAACGGCGCAAATTCAACGAACGCCAAACAAACGCGTGCATGTGGAAACGTCGAACGTAACCTGAAGTCCTGCTGCTCTGCTGGCGCGCGGTCGTCGACGACGTGACGTCTGTCAGATAGGCAACAGCAACAAGACCCTCAGCGAGAACCTCTGTTTGCAGTCTGCCGTTGATCGACTGATGATAGGCTTTGAACGCGTACCAGCAGTGCTTACTCGAAAACGGTCGTTCGATTCTCATGTTCTGCCCCCTGTCCGACAACATGCCACAGGGAAACTAACGGCATTAATGAAACTGAAGAACTAGCACACTTCAACTCAATGCCATTCACTTTTCCACGGTGGCTATCACTGCATAACCACAAATATTGCGAATTATGGACACAGACAACTGTTTAGCAACATGAATACAGAAATGAGTATTTATTACAGCCTTGGTGAAGGGCAGTATTAAGATGGGATATGAGGCATCCGAAACGGGCCCACGGAACAGAATCTAGCTTAGACTCTTCCTCGAAATAGTTGAGGCACCACTGAACGTTCGGAGGATTCCACTGGAGCCCATATGAAGTAAAATACGGAACATATCATTGAGTACTTTAGAATCTTATGCTTATATTAACAGTTCTGAACGATTTCATCAGTTGATCAGATGAGCAACGCATGATATCAATGTCATTTCAAGTTCATTAACCCATATTCTCTTTCTCTTTTTCGATTTCAGCTGCTGCAGAATATAAGTGGTCTCAGATATCGCCACTTGCGTCAAATTCTTAAATTATGATTCTGACAGGATTATTCATCATATTCAAGTCACCGATGTTGCAGACGCTACCAAAGAGATTTGAAACCACCGTTTCCATTATTTCTGTGATATTTGACAATTTTAAAAATTGATATCAAAATGTTTGAAGTATGTTTTTCACTCGTTCAGGATATACAACGCTATAGCAACATCAGTTTGCTCTTGGATGAATAGGACTCTGCTGCACTTGGCTTTTGTTATTCATCTATCTGATTTCACTCCATGCGAAACAAACTCAAAGCATAAGAGTTTACAACATAACTTTCGGAGATGACCTTGAAGTAGACTCGTTTGATAAACTTGCGATTCAAGTTCTGTAGCAAATCATCGAACGCAAGTTATGTTTAATTAATCGACATGTCTGAACTCAATTATGAAGATCATCTTGATCAAGGTAGTGCAAAGCTGGCACGGGGTTTCCAAAACTGACGTCTGTACATTTGTTTTTCCAAGGCAAGTTTTGCATGAATTTAGACAACTTTTGTCGTCGCTATGACACAGGCACAGCTACATAACTGTGCTGTAAACCGCGGAGGATGAAGGACTCATTGAAGAAAGCTCCAATGAACAAAGCCTCACTGAACTATCACTCAGAACTCCACTGGACAAAAAGGAAAAGTAAACGGACATCTTGTCAAGGACGTCTTTGGAGCATAAAAAACACAAGCAACTACCTCCAGCCAAAATTACACGATTAGATCAAACGGAGGTGCCGTCTGACAAACAACGAAAGGATCAGGCATGGGATCACCAAAATAAAAGCCGATCTTATGGATTTACTAGCATACTGCCAGATCTATCCCACCCCCCATAAAATCAGGTTTTAGTTTTATTATAAGTATGTCTACGAATCGTGGCATATTTGCTGCCGTTCGAACAGGCCTTTGTTCGGCCCTGCTAAGTGGAATCTCTTTTCCTCCTGAAGTGAGGTTTCATACATGTGTGTCAGACTGACGGAAGGTCTGAATGAATCTCAGTAGATTACATCTGGAACATGGAAACAAAAACCATTCCCATCCTATCTTTTGAACGTTTAAGATCATGGAAATACAGGATATCGTGCAGCGTCATAGAAATGTTGTCCAAATTCAGTCATGGCATCACCTAAGAAGAAAATGACTAAAGAACCAAATTAGAACCTCATTGAAACGATGAAGATGTTGAGGTTGCAGGTTTTCAGGGAAGCTTCGATGTAAGTCAGATACGATAAAATATCTGAGATTTATTTGGCCACCAGTTAAAGAAGAATTCTCACAGAAATTAATTTAAGCATGCTTACTCGAAACGGCACATGCAACTCTGCTCCATATTCGCTGCGTTCTACGTAGGACATAGCTTCATTGGTTGTTGGAATATGTTAATTTTCATGGGCAACTATACCACATTACACTGTATTAACCTCTATAGCAGGAGCGCAAGTCAATCAACCAAACTTTTGCAACCTTCCATGATTACGTCATCATGTTCACTATTACCCAAAGATTCATATGCCATTAAGGTAGGCCCTTTAAACACTGTCTGCTTTCTTTTATCACCTATACAGCACTGATTCAACGTATATACGGCAGCCGTTAAAGTTTTGTATGCAACTCGAAATGGTCGACTGGAGAGGCTGTGGTAATTTCAGTCTACATGACCTTCTGTACCTTCCTCATGTACCTTTGTCTAGGACAATGTTTCCATAATTATGAATTAGATTGAAGAATCTATGACCATCGGTTTATCACCATTCGGAAAATGCATGCAATAGTTTCATGCCGTCTATTCTTGCACGAAGAATGATTATTGATAGTCAATGCGATGAAAGATATTTATAATCTTTAACTATTCTAATAGAAAGTGAAAGAAAGCGATTATTTTAATGCATTATTAGGCTATATAAAAATGAAGCTAAGCTGGAAAAGTTCTGGTTCGCTGTCAACGCGTTTTATTATTGATGCCGGTTGCATCTCCACGACTGTATGAACAATGTCTAGCCAAGGCTTTGCATACTCAACAATTCAAAGTACATTTCAGATGGACAGTTGTACGTCTTTCAACAGGCGAAGTCAGATGTTACACAACACACTACCGAATGCACCCGAAATATGAAATATAATAAAGGATGGCGAATTATCATTGCAACAAAAAATCGGTGTCTTGTGCGAAACTCTTATTAACAGCCTACTCTTGTGGTGTCCTTATCAATTATCAGACATATCCTACTATAACAGCATAGGCTGTAATGCTTGAGTAATCATATTGATTGTTGTGGATTTGAAAAGGATACTCTTTGATTACGTAATCTGTAGGTCTTGCCTAGACAAATTCTATCAAAAGCATTACCATATCGAGGTTATCAGTTGAGTTTTCGTGAAGGAGTTTCCTTAAAAAGAACCATTCCCATTATCGTTCCATGTTATTAGCAAACCGTAAAAAATGTAGTCATCTACATAAAAATGAAATGGCTGTAGTAACGTAGTTCACATCTGTGAATTCGTTTCGAAATCCCCCTGAAAAAAGCTCAGATTTTTCTTTGACTTGTCTTGGCCACAACTAATGTTCATTCAACGTCATTATCATTTCACCCTAAAAAATGGATCCCTAACCAATTTTGTGGGTCATAGAAATAAATCAACAGCCAAGGAGACAAGAGCGCTGAGGAATGAAGGTGTAAATTGAAGTGCAGCATAAAAGTATGACAGACGTCCTACATCACGAAGGGGTTTAAGTTTCTCCCGACAGGTCATAGATAGGATTTATGACAGATTAGCCTGGCTTACATGCATTTAAATATTCCGCTGCACAAAGAAATAGGGTAGTTTTTAACGGTTTAACGACGACACGCCTAGAACTTTATTGAGTAAATAAGAATTCTGATGGCTTTCTCAAAGTTAATGACCTTTCTTGGAGCTGAAAACCAGCTGTTCAGCGAATTATACTCTTTTTGACTATGGCTATCTTCTTAGAAAGAATTTCTGCATAACCTTCAACAGCATACCGAAACCTCGGAGCGTTGCTGAGTACTGGAAATAAACTATTCTCGTGCACAGTTGTGATAGGAATTTCCGGTTCCTTAGGACTTGAACAGAGACGAGTAATTTCGCCAGAATAACAGGTCTAAATTTGAAACACTGCCACCTTCTGTTACAGCATTGGAATGCTGTGCGCCTTGCAAATTAATTCCCTTCGTTAGGAAATTAGCAATGTTTATCTACTGATTATGTTTAACTCATTTGTGACTCACAGATCGTACAATTTATTGTAATCTTTAAAACAGTTGTCAAAATCTTCTGTCATTATGCTAAGATCACGACTTGTTAGTTTCTATGCTGATTGAATATCTCAAATTACAGTTCTATATGACAAGTCGGTAATGACGATCGTTCATCGATGCATTATATCACTTTCACATTTAGAGCAAAATAAGGCAAAATCGTATCTACGAAAGTTGTGAAAAATATTAGGCGTAAGTAGCCTTATCCCCTGTGCATTCGCCGTTTGAATCCGGTATCCTTATTATTTTTACAGTGATATATAAGGCGGCGGCATCGATAGCTAACCAGAACATCGGGGTTCCATTCTGTCGCTCTTTCTCCTACGGGTTGTGACAGTGTTTCTTGTTCAAGACGCGGTGCTTCCTCCTATGCACTGCAGGCGCTTAAATAACATGGAGTTGTAGCTTGTTTAAATGCCCCCTAGGAGTCTAGAAGCAAGGGGCGATGCAATCAGTTGCTGGTGTAAAGTGAGAAATTGATTTTTCTTTCTTTACGCTGTGCACTCGCCGTTTCAATCCGAACTCATTATGTTTACTGTGAAGATCAAAGTAGCTGTTTCAGGTTCCTCAAAGCGTCAGGTTCGCCGAACAAAGATTGCGAGGTCCAATTCAAAGAGGCTAGATTACTTGCCTTTTTCCTTCTCATGTGTGAAAATGCTTAAACTTTCTTGGAAGGAAACAATCAGCTTCAAGCTGATGTGACTAATTAGCTGTAGATGCTGCGTCAAAATTTTTAGCACTCCGATATCAACAGGTGGCAAAATCTGCCTTCGGAAACATGGGACAATCACCTGATCATGTGATGTAAAGGTTATCAATATTGCAATGGCTGTTAACTTTTCTTTTCTCGTTTGTTTTGCACCAGAATCGAGTTTCTCGATCAAAATGGAAGAAGAGCTGTGCAAACGTTTCACCGTACTTGTTTGAGAAATGCATAAAGGAGATGACCGCAGTTCTTCCCATCGAGTCCTCCTCAGGTTATACCTTTCTTAGAAAGATTTTCATCACAAGCATTTTAAAATCTGCTGTGTCAGCCTAAAACTACCATTAACTGTTCTTTAAGCTCGTCTTTTCAGAGTTCGTGAAATGTTTTCTCGGTCAATGAGGTAGGTAGATAGAATGAAATCTCTACTATTCATTCAAACATTGAACCACTGGCTAAGGAGCTGATAGGCAGTGCGACGTGGAGAGATGGTTCCAAATA